CCTCGTTCAAGGAGTCCACTCCTCGTCGAGCTCTAGGAAAACAAAGTCGGCATCACTTTGGTGGTCCTCCGGCCGACAATGTTATTTGTGTTCATTGTACAGTAGCATAAACAAAATCTATTAATATTTTAGTTTAACAGCTCGTCTGTATAAATATACACATGTCAGACAGTGCGGTGGTGTCCTCAGCATCAGCATCAGCAGACCCATCTTCGACTGCCGAAGACGGGACGTCTAACACGCGACCCAAGAATTCGTTCGCATCTTGCGATCGAAACAGCCACATGGGGTCCACACTGCCCTGCACAAACAGAGATACCATGTGTAATGAGTATAATTGTCCGAGTTGTGTAATTTAACATATATATTATAATTAATAATGACTGAATGTATACAGGGTGTCATATATATTTTACATCTTTAAAGTTAACTATAACCCAAAATGAGCATGCATTATATAATATAAGCTATCTACGACGGTTATTGTGTACAGGGTACTGGTCTGTGTGTCAAATTACATACACCGAAACTTCGATCAACGGCCAAGGCACTGCTTGGCCGATATGGAAGTATCCTCTGTACTTGGCGGTTCGGCATACGCGATCGGTCCAGCCTGTCAGTATAATGATTACTAGACTAAGTCTGAATAGTCCCGTTATCCCCCAGGGATTGGGGATCTGAAGCCGACTATTTGGCTGGGATTCCGTGTGTCGCTCAATGCATCCTTATATTAAACCGCGCAAACTGAGGGCTGAGATAATTTAGGGTTCGGGGTTCAGGGATTAATTATATAACTGTCCAAAATATATAAGTTATATAGTCTATCCGAGTCTATCCGTATATAGTATTATATAAGGATCGAATCTATATACATAAATTGAAAAATAAATTAAATGCATGCATATTTATAATTGCTGAGGAGGCGTCGCATGAATAGAATCAGGCAATAATAATAAGAATAATAACTAGATGATGAATCCTGTCAAGCTGCAGCCAGTTTCCTCCGACCAGTGAAAGCGCAAGTCTCGGAATTTGGCCCCTTCGGTGCAGCGGAAAGCCAAGCGAAATTCGTACTGGCCGATGATCGCCCAAAAGCCGCAACCATGCTCCAGTGCGTCGTTGTTGCTTCCTGGGCGAATCGGCAGTCGGCATTAATTTATTATATTCTAATTTATGACATTATATATATAATGAACTTAAGAGATAAGAATCCTAAAGAAAACAAGAAATGAAGTGAAGGCCAGGTGCTTGTCTTACGATAGAATGATACCGAAGACGTGTTATGCAAGTAGAGCCATTCCCCCTGACGGCTGGAGTGCGTGTACTGGAAGCAAAACACCACTGTGGCCATGCCTCACCGGACCAATCCAAATAACCAGACGGCGAAGCACAAAATCAAAGGAACTGGAGCAATAAATGTTGCGAGAGATTCATTCACGGCTTGACCGATTTGCCTGAGGGATAGTATATATATTTAGTCAGTATATGGACTAGTCGAATATAAGCATTAATGATAATTATAGTTTAAACTACTACTGTACTACTACTACTACTACTACTACTATACTACTACTACTACACTACTACTACTACTACTACTACTACTACTGCTACTATTACTACTACTACTACTACTACTACTACTACTAACATACACCCCACCACCACCACCACCAACCAGCACCACCACCACCACCAGCACCACCACCACCAGCAGCACCACCACCAGCACCACCACCACCACCACCACCAGCACCCCCACCCCCACCACCACCACCACCACCACCCCCGCCACCACCACCAGCACCACCACCAGCACCCCCTACCAAAAGGTTCTGCTGAGTCCCGATAAGAGCAGAACCTTTCACACCATTGGGCCGGGTGTGGGGGGAGGAAAATCTTCGGATCTGGATACGGCATCGATGCCTAGGGCACTGCCAGAATCCAGTCGGTGTGTTGGGGCCAACGCACCGAGGGGGCTCCGGCGTATGACAGCAGAACAAATGGGCTAAGGTGTCTGCTGGCACACCGGAATGTGCGGGAATCTGCATGTTCTCCGAATTTTCCTGGCATTGGGAGGCCCACCACCAGACAAACACATGCCACCACCTCTATAATATATATATAT